GAAACGTCTAGGATATTGTTCGAAAAGGTAAAAGGAGAATGAAAGAGACGCCAGAATTCCAGAAGGCGTGAAGATCCTTTGAAATCGCGATATTTATCATTTTGTTGCGAGACTCCTGTGGCCATTTTGTTACGCCACTGGCGGGATGAAAAGAGGAGGACCCGGAATAATTTTCGATGCGATAACTACGGCGATCCGTGACGAGAAGTGGCCAAAAGTTAGGCTTTAACGCGGTCTGCACTACCTTCCGGCTGGACTGCACAACTTCCAGGAGCTTTTCCGGTTCGGACGGTGGACGTTTTCTGGTTTACAGGACATCCCGCTGACCAGCCGTCAACATCCATGACGGGGTTGCTTTCAGCCGGGCTTGGCGGGGGATGAAGATGGCAAAAAAGTGAACGGCTTCTGCTGTGATGTTGGCACGACTCTTGTCTGTCGCTGTGTTGCAGCAGCAGAAACATCCTCATTTTCAATTTGCCGATCTGTCGATCCCTTTTATCGTTATCCAATCTGCTGCCTTGCCTTCGAGAAGCTGGTAAACGAATACTTTAGGACAATTTGATCTTTGGGGACGTTCTATGCAGAATTCTGGGAATTTGTGACAATATTATATTTTGTATTCGTGCCTCGTCTCTTCCTTCCTCTCAAAATTATCAAAATAAAAAGATCGCACCGCGCTACATCCAAAAATATACTTGGTGCACGCAGACATCTGCCACAAAATTACAAATTAGAGTCAACAGCGTTCGAAGGAAGGAAGCAGCAAAGCTGAAAATCGAGCTTCCACAATGATTGTTTCGTCGAGCTCGCGCTAAAAGTTCGGTGATCTCTCGATCAAAGGGGGCGTGTCCTGTCGGAAGACTTCTTTTGCCTGTCGAAGGCAACAATTTGCCCGCGAAAGGCGAGGCCGACGTGAAAATCCTGATTCTCTTGACGCGGATCGAGGCTACTGGCGAGGAACCCCCTACGGTCTTGCTGCTGCGAATCTGTCAACATCCTCGTCAAAGTCGCATTGAGGTCCCTTCTTGTGGACCGACAAAGAATCCTCGGCTGCCGGGTTGTTTGCTGGCAAAAAATCAACTCTTTGGAAGAGGGCGTTGCGTGGTTCTTCGCGTCGAGATCGATCTCATTCTGTCCCGTGAAGAATTTCGACAGCCAGCAGCCTCGTGGTTCGCCATCTTCGTCCGGTCGTCGGCAGTATAATTGTTCCGTTCCGAGCAACATTTGTAAATATCATTGCTTTCTTCGTAGCTACTTTATCGTTTCCCCCGCACGATCCCTGGTTCGTTCGATACATCGCGTTGTGCTCTGCTTCAACTTCTCGAGGCATTTTTAATCGGCTCGCTCGACCGCTTATCAGAATTTAATTACACCGTTTCGAGTCTTATCAAGAGGCAGCAGGGTTTTCCATCATTCTACCCCATAATTTCTAGACGGTTCAGCGTAATTCCCCTGTTTGGCGAGGCCACCATTAGCAGCCGGTGGTCCGCCATAGCTCGACCGTGCGGGAACAATCGCCACCGAAGTCGGTGGAATCGACTCCGGGCACAATGAACTGCTCCGACCACAAGCGCTGAGCGTCCCGAAACCGCAATTTTTCAGATCGTCACTGACTGCCGATTCCCCGAAACCACAGGAACCGGAAGATTTACGATTCAGCGTCTCGTCTTCATGTGGATCCGTTCTAACCTGAGCCGTAAGTCTAACTATTTTACGAACCCTTAATTGAACGACGTGGTCGGAGAGCGGAAAGAACGAGAGAAAGAGAAAGACGGGGTTTGTTGCTCGATGCTCGAAACGGGGTGGATTATTTACGGCGTAACGGTGTTCCGGGGTTGCGATGTTGCTCGCCGTGTCAGGTAGGCGGATCCCCGGGTCTCTGGCTATTTGCATCTATTTGCTGGTTCCTGACTACGCCCACTTTTCATGGCTCCCCATGAGACGCGAGATATGTATCGCCCACGCCGGCTTCACACTCCGCGCAGACGGTTTTTGCTCGCGATCTCCTAGATCGGGATCGGTTACCGCGTCACGGGATTCGCCGCCTTTTCCCCTCGACTGGAGTCACGCTCTGGGAACGATACCGCTCGGGGAAACGATGCACTTTGGACTTTGGCGCCCCGATTCGTAAACGATAGTACCGCGATTTCGAACGGTCCAGTCGCCCGTACTAGACGCCCATAGTGATCACCCCAAACACGGAGTCCTGTAAAAACGTTCATTCTTCGGCCGAATGTTCGGTGGTAACCGAGCCAGGCTCGCGTTGTCCGCCGACAACGTACCGAAAACAAACACCGGAGGCTGGTGGGGGCTCGGTTTCCCAATAGCTTTGGCATTCCCGTAAATCAATTACGTCTTCATCCATCCGGCGTGATCCGAAATTCTCCGCTTCACGCTCGGCAATCAGCGACATATTGTGACGATACCGTGACGAGATCTCGTCGCGACCTTGAGGAGACTGCAGGCACTCTCGGCGCGGCGATGCGGTGATCCTCGATGGAGCTACCAACTGGCTAGAGACCGGCCAGAGGGGCTGCCGTTTTCTTCGTCTCTCTCCGTTCGTCTCCTCCGGTTCCACGTATTCCTTGGTGCTCGTTGCGCCCTCTCTCACCCCCGTAAACGAAGATGGTACGCGATGAGTGGCATGAAGACATTAGGGAGTTTGTTTTGTCCGCGCCGCGGGACGCCGACGACCCCGGACAGCCCCGTTAAAAGTAACGCCGTATTGCTCCGCCAGGACGAAGCCGACGGGTGGTCCTTTGCCGGTTTCCTTCCGCTTTTCCGCCACCTCCCGCGAGCCGATGCGTGTCCGCTCCATAGACAGCCTTCTGTTTGGCCATTCTCGCGCTTCGTAACTCACGGAACGCACAAACAGGGACGATAATAAACATTGATGGGGCATCAGCGGCCAGGCGTCCTCTTCTAGGCCGAGACCAACGATCGAACAATGTCCTCCACTCTCGGACTACCCGAGATTTTTTTCGACTCGGGGGCCCTACCGGGCTTTCCGGACGCCATTTCCCGACGCGCCGCGTCGAATCCACGGAAAATCGACGGAGACCATGATCTATCTCGTAGGCTTCTAACTGCGGCGCGAATCGATTCACCGGCGGACAGGTCTCGTAGGAACTTCGTTGCTTCGACTGCGTCCCGCCAAAATATTTTTGCTCGTCTCGAGATGGCGAAAATCCTCCAACTTCGTCCTCTCTTGCTTTCTTAATCCTTTTGCACTACGAGGTACCATCAACGATCGTTCTGCGCTTCAAACAAGCGCCGTAGCGCTTAGAAAAAATTTAAACAACAGCATTCACATTTAGAAATCTGTTAAAAGTACAATCACTTGCCAACGGACTGATTTTCGTGCGATAAATTGCAATAGATTATCGGAAAATGGAAGTGCTGGATGAAACATAAAATTGCTTCAGTTGTTATGGGTTAACCCTTTGACGTATGAAGTAAGCGATGATACGCGACCAAAGTTTGTGATCTTTTTAAGTCGATATTCAAAGAAGAGACACTGGACAGCAACGTTCTGCTGGGAAAAGATTTATTCGTGGATCATACGTCCTGAGTGTCACGGGGTTCAAAACGACTCCGACGCATCGACGGATAGTCCATTCGCATAAACGAATGGCAAAAAAAAAACGAGAAAAGAAAATGGGAAGTCGCGAAACTCTGTTATTCAATTAGTCTTTTTACTCGTCGACGAGTAGCGTCACGTCCTGCTCGAAACGGAGCATCGTCATTTCCTCGGCGGGAAAAGAATGGTGGTCCTAAAAAGCGAAAGTTGGGAGTGATCATGCGTTAATCGTCAGGGGAACGATTTCAAGCGAGTCGCCGTTATTTGAGCTCGTCTCTTGCCCAACCAGCTTGCCGGTCCGCCGCGTTCTTCGACTCTCGCGACGGTCTTCGAAGATTTTCTTCCCGACCTGTTTGTCATCCATGAGTTTGCGATTGACAAACGACTCTACGCTTCTTTCGTATCGTTGACAGGCGATCGGCGATCTCCAGACTTTTTTTCGTAATCGTCGCTCGTCCTTTATTCCGCGTTTTATCTGTATATTGGTACGTTTCTTCGTCTACTTTTGCCTTGGTTTTTGATATATGTATATATATATTGCCCGCTGCGTCAACGACGCTGCAAACAATACCGTTTCAACGAATGAGACATAATATCACTGTTTTGCGAACACGGTAAAAAGAAATTGCAATGGAATCGCGGAGAAACACAATCGCGGAGGGAAAACATAACGATTGAAAGAAAAGGAGAAAGACAATGTTGTAATTCGGTGGTCGGTAAATGGCACAGTTTAATAAGAAGTCCCTTTGTTCTCTGTCATTGATCCTAGTTACTGCAGAAGCAAGCTGGACAATCGGATCGAATCACCATTGTCAACAAATTCGAGATATCGAGACATCGTCGACAAGGATGGAGTCCGAAGAAAACCACCCTTGAGAACTAGTCGGGTTAAACTAGTCCGAGGGTAAAACGTACGAGCATCTCGTCGAGCAGCTTGTACGATTCGTGGTCCTCGGGAAGATGCATTTGTTAACGAAAAACAAAAACGGAGATTGCGAAGAAAGCCGTCCAAAAAGACGCGACTCCGAAATGAAAAACAAAGCCAAATGATCGGCCAAACCATCCCCCACTTTAGCGTGTCTAGAAAAAGGAGCACTCGCAAGCATGGTCTCCGCAGTCCTCCCCCGCAAGCTTCCAGTCATGCGCGACTGGGCGTGACTCGAGGGGCTTGCCAAGGGGATTGCTGTTGGCCCTGGATTGGTCGAGAATAGCCGTGGAAACAGGTACGCGGCCGGGCCGAGCACGTTGTCCTCGCCACCTAACCGAGGCCTAACGTAGTGCTCACCGTTTCGTCCCCACCAGCTGCTCTGCCGACGAAGAAGTCGTGGACGATGGGAGTGGCCAAGTGTTAGTTACCCCGGTGGCGAGTTCTCGAAGAAGCTAGTCAGGATCAGAAAGCCGATCGGTCCGGGTCCAGCGAAGTTCGTCGAACGACTCCACGTTTGCTCGACGAGCCAGGTATATTCCAAGGACCGATACGTGGGTGGGGATATACGCATCCGACAGGAGGGTCCTGGAGGCTGGACCGCGTGGAATCCGAGGACTGCTTGCTACCGATCCTCGCGGAGATCGTGTGACAGTGACAGTTCGTCGTCCTCGTGATCCGAGGATACCGATCAGTGCGATATCCTGGCCGTGTCGCGTCGAGATAACGCGTATCGCGGAAGCCGAACATCGACGAGCTCGCAAAGTGTTGCCACGGTGATCCATCTATCGTTTCGTGATACTTACCGATCCTACGGAGATCTGTGCGGGGTGAAACACGGCTTTCGTGCCGGGTTTGTGGAGGCTGGGAGCGCGGACGCGCTGAGATGACGGTGACCACGAACTTTTCGATGATGCGACCCTGCTTCACTGGATACCCCTTTCAAGGTAAACTTTGCAGTCTGTTCTGCAGGATTCTTCTCCGATTCGACAGGACTGCCCTGATTTTTGGAATATTTTACAAGTTTTATTTGCCACTGAGGCGGCTTAATTTTCTTTAAACCGAGCCCTTAGAGATCGATCGTCAGCGTCAGAAAACGTATATTCGAGATATTTGTAGAATTTTTCATTCTCTACGAACATTGATAGCATAATCTATGATCAAGATCCAGTTCCGACGGTGCTAGAACAATTGTTAAACTTTCGGGAGGGTCGAAGCGAGAGACAGCCGAAGAATCGTGGAAAAAATGTGCGAGGATTGCGTTAGCATTGTGCAACGTTCGAGGACCATTCGGAACAGTGATTTTACAACTGGCCCGGTGGCAGAAAAATCTCTCCGACAATGGAGTGACAGGATACCTTTAAAGACTTTTGAACGTCCCATTGATATATAACTTTACCTGACCCTTGAACACCGGAACATTACCATTAATAACAGTCATAAATACTGAAACGTATTTTTCGACGGGTTCCGCCGACGCTCTGGAAAACTCCCGTGCTCTTGCTTTTTCACTTTGCACGTCCGCGCCATTTCGTTTTTTATTCTCTGCACACAGAACATTCTTAGAACATCTTCTGCAGAACATTTTTAGGAGTTACGTCAAGGTTATTCGACCCTTCCAACCCCGCCCATTCCATGTTGCACCCTTAAAAATCTACACACCGACAAATAATCTTTTTACGTTACGATCAATCCGAAATTATTCTCACAATTTCCGTTTCTTCTAGATTAATTGTGTAAGCGGTCCTTGAATTTTTCTCAATCTTCTTCATTTCACTTATCTATTTTACTTCGTTCTCCGTTTATTAAAAGGTCGAATAACGTGTAGTAATTAGGGAACTGATGAAATTCCATCCGATAGTATTTCGACGATTTTATTCTGCACACGCGAGACTTCGAAATTGCGGAAAAATTTTGTCGAATAGGTCGCTAATCTTCGGCGATTAGTAGCTCGTTCCCGCTCGTAATCGTAGCAGAAGTCGAAAATCGACCGTGTAATTCTCGAGCATGTTCCGCATTGTCGTTTCTGCCTGCCGGAAAATTCGTAAAATCGAGTTGCCGGCTCGCCAGATTTTTGGAAACGGACTGCTGGGTGCCAAACTTTATGGCGTCGTAAATTTCGGTAACCCCGGGTGGCTGCAGCTTTCCCGGGCGCCCGAGAGCACGCCCATCCGGGTCCCTTGATCGATTAAAAAGGAGATCTTGCCGAACGATTACAACAAAGGATAGATCGCGCGAGCATAGAGCCGGATAAGGAGCGTGGATCGACTCGAGGACGTAATCGCGAATGCAAATGTAAGGCGTCCTCTGAATTTAGCATTTTTATTTGTTGCTTACGCTTGTCCCGGGGCTCGTCATTTGTCACTGTCCGGGTTTACGCACCGTGTGTTGTTACTGCCGAGTTTAATTGCGGCGGACAATTAGTCAACGAATCGTTTGCGCGCGCGCGCGCGCGGCTCGTATGCAAAATGGAAGCGTTTAACGCCCGGCGAGAACGGGTAATTAAATATTCCTGGAAGATTGATAATGTTGCGGACGCGTTTCTCGCAATTACGCGGGCGCGCTCCGCTCGATGCATCGACGATCGTTAATTATTTCGCTGAATGTCGAAACCCGTTCGCCGGCTGCGTGAGAAGCGAGGGCGAAAATCATCCACGGCTCGATTAGCATCGAGGAAGTCGCTCTCTTCTTCGCAGACATCCTTCGCGGAGGCTGTCACAGTTTTCCAATAATTAACAGTTCCATTTCTCATCGATTAACGCGCGGCTAACCGCGTTAATCGCGGCAAGATCGAAAATCTCGAGGATCGCCAGCGAACGGACTTCGAAACCGGGTCGAGGACCGACCGGGAACCTTACGCAGGTTTCTAATTAGCAGCCTAGATTAACAGCAATTTTTTCCACCCCCGCGAGGCCAGGTTTTCGAAGGCTGCGCGACGTTTTTCGGCCGTCGGCGGCACTCTAACCGGTGCACAACACCGATTATGCAACTTTGACGACGGATTCTGCGCAATTCCGACCAGCGATTCAACCTGCTCCCCTCCTGCACTCCATTTTTTCCTCCTGCTCTCTCTCTCTCTCTTTCTCTCTCTCTCTTTCTCTCTCATTCTCTCTCGCGTTCCTCGTCCCTCGCTTCGTTACGTGAACGATTCGCTCGAATTCTCCCGCCCCGTTCGTCTTCGCGCGTCACCTTGACGCGCGAGATCACCGTGGGAAACCGATCAGGTTTTCAATCACCGATTATGTTAATCGATCCTGTTTTTGGGACCTCCCAGCACGTGGAATCGCAGCTCCCGCCACGAAAAACCGCGGGAAAACGTTCGGGACGAAGAAAATCGTTCTCCGTCGACACAGCTCGACTCACTCGCAAACGATTTAAGTTCTCATTTTTTATTCCATCGATATCGAAGGACTTGCGTTACAGATTGGTCAGCTGTACCCTTCGAGGAAATTTTTTTCCATGGAAATTATGTAGCCTGTTTCTTTGGACTTTAAATTCTACTGTTCGCTTTTTGCTCGATAGTCGTCGAAGGTCTTTAATCGCTCCTCAATTAAGTATTCTCCGTCGACCGCGATCTTTTAGAATTTTTCTGTGAAAATCGAGCTTCCTGCTTGTCCGCGATCGTGCTCGAATTTTTTCCTCGCAACATCGAAGGTCTCTAATGTGGTTTTTTAACGAAATGTGTTCCGCGACCGCAGTTATGTCACAACTCCATAAGCTTTTTTTACTCGATCGTCATTGAGCGATGCTCGGTCATTTTCAATTATGCAGATACGCTTTTAGATCGAACGATCTCCAACGCCTTTACGATCTTTTTTTAAAAAAAAAAATTGTCCAATATGTATTTTTCTAGAAAAACTCGACGTACGACGTTTCAAAAGTTGATTTCTCTACGCGCGATCTTTCTTCGATGCACAAATTACGAAGCTCGAACGTTCGCTGGTACCACGATTTCTTTCTCAGGATGTACAAAGTGACTCGAACATGTTACTTCTCCCAGCTGCAAAAACACCTCCATTGTTTCTTCACCTAATATCGCGGCGCGAAGTAACAATTTCCAAGGGTTTCCATAAAACGGTACAGCTTCTTGTCCCGAGCCGACGAAATTTCTTCGACGATAGACGGCCGTCAAGGAGGTGGAAGAAAACCCAAAGCCAGCGAGAGACCGTGTGAACATTTTATGATCGATCGGCTAGTTCGATTATACTATCGGGCAATAAGTAACTAACAATTTGTTTTTCCTCGCGGCGATGTCTCGCTTCGGCGACCACGCGCCGCACTTTATATTCTATGTATAATCGACTATATCGCGGTGTCGTGCGGGGACAACACACAGTTTTTCTTCTCGTTACTATGCCAAGAATAATGAGTCACACGGTCTGCACGGGCAGAGCTGTTTTGCTCGTTTTCGATCGCGATCGATCCAGTTGCCGTTAATATTCGACTCGATTAGCTGGAAGTCTGCGATCCAACGGAAAGAACTTTTACGTTCGAATCAGCGATCTCGTGTTCGCCTGCGTTCGCCTCGGCTCAAGGAAAAATTCTCTGCTGCAACCTGCATCTGCAACCAGGTTCATCGATTAAATTGCTCCGTGGAAAAACGCCGCTTATTATAATTAATCGCGGACGGCGGACCCTCGTTTCCGGCTCGTGGAGATCGCGAAACGTCTGCATGAGACGACTCTTTTCGATGCGACACGGTCGTTCGGCGAGATCTGTCGGCAGACGTCTCGGCTCGATCCGATGGGAGACGCGTTAATTAGGAAAACGTACGATGACGCGCGGAGCAAAACGAGGGACCGGCAGTGCGAACGGTCTCGATCGCACTCGACCCGGCAAATTATACGCTATCAGTGTTGTGCGTCGTAAACCCTTCGAATTCATTGGTCTTATCGTTATTTATGGGACCGCGTGGCACAATAACTCTTTCCTTCTCTCGACTCGAGAGTCTCCTTCCTTCTTGCGCCGTTCCCCTTTGCCGCCGAGCCCTCCCCACGAGAACGCAGGAAACACGTCGAGGTGAAGGTGGAACGATAAATCCAAGTTTCTCTTTATATTCGCCATCGAGTAACTGTTCTCTCGGCCCGTTCTTTCGCTCGGCTGCGAAACAAAAGGACTCGGATCGTTTCGCAATCGGCCTTCGAACGGATCCTACTCTCTTACACGGATGTTCGCCGGGGGTGTTTGCCGGTATTAATGGAAGATCGTTTTCTGCCGCAGATTTGGGATCGATACCGGGTCAGGGCCGCGTCAATCAGCTCGGCGGTGTCTTCATCAATGGACGCCCTTTGCCGAATCATATCCGATTGAAGATCGTCGAGATGGCCGCTGCCGGGGTCAGGCCGTGCGTCATATCAAGGTAACGCGACCACTCGTTCTCTAATTTCCACTCTGAACGAATATATTCTTGAAATTAATCTTCCTGCGTTCTTACGATATTTATAGCCTAGATTTCAGAGCTAGATTCTTCTAGCTCTGAAATTCCATAAACTCTCTCCGTCGATTGAAAGCTTCTTTCTTCTACCTTGATCGTAGAACAACACAGGGTGTCCCATAATAACGTCAACATACGGAGAGGTGTGATTCGCTAAGGAAAAAAGTTACTTCGACTGACCAGAGAAATCGATTCTTTTCGGGGCATTGACGTGATTATGGGACACCCTGTCCCCTGAATTTCTGTAATTTTTGCTTTGGTAGACAATTGAGGGTGTCTCACGGTTGCGTCTCGAAGATTCTGAACCGGTACCAGGAAACCGGAAGCATCAGGCCGGGCGTGATCGGCGGTAGCAAACCGAGGGTAGCCACGCCGGAAGTCGAGGCCAGGATCGAGGAGTACAAGCGCGACAATCCCGGGATATTCTCTTGGGAAATTCGCGATCGTCTGATCAAGGAGGGAATCTGCGACAGGACCAGTGCTCCCAGCGTTTCCGCGATCTCCAGGCTACTGAGGGGTCGGGATCCCGAGGACGAGACTAAGCTAGGAGACGGTGAGTTCATCGAACAGTTTCCATAGGGAATTTTCGAAGAAGAATGTACGCACGATTCGGTGAAAACGAGGCCGCGGGGTCCCGAGAAGAATGTCGACGGAAAGGGAAAAATATTAGACGGCGCGCGAGAATATTCGAAAAAGCGTCGAACAAAAAATGTCCGCGCGATCTTTCCCATCCGCGGCGACCAAGATTGATGATCCGGCTGAATCAGTGAATCAGGCTCCCGCGAATGTTCTCCCGCGACAGCGCCACCGTGGAAAATTAGATTATAACGACACCGGCACCGTAATTTGGTCCCCGAGGCTCCAATGGGTCGAGTCGGAAATTGAATCGACCGGGCTTTTTGCCACCCCTAATTTTCTCGGCCTCGAGAATAATCCGCTTTTTCGCGTGCGCTGAAAATCCAGCGCGGCGATAGCCCCTCGAAGATTCGGGCCTCTCTTCTCCTGGAACGCGCACGCGCGCGCGCGCGCGTTCTGCTACCCGGTCGCTTCGGGTTTCGCGTCCCCGACTCTTCGTGTATGCACGGCTTCGCGAAATTCGCCGGCGGTTTTTCCAGCAAAAAGTGTGTCCGCGATAAAAGCGACCATTAAGGTGTAACAGCTTCCTGCGCAGGGTAATGTTCCATCCGTGGGCAAATTACCCGCGCAGGAAATTACGAGGCAGATCAAAAGTGGAGCTTAGCGATGTAGTTCGCAGTTAATTCGCGACTCCGGCCAGAAACTTTCCTCCCGGGACTCTTTAATCATCGCGGACCTTTCGAAAAAGTGTTTCTTAGTTGCGGTTTCCCCTGCCGTTTAACTCGGGCGAAGATATCCGGGGCTAATACCGCGGCACGAAGATCTCTTCGGCAGATATTAGGGTTCGATAGAGCCGCTTCGAACGTCCACTTGCGGAAAGTTGCAAAACCCGCCGCGGCGCGCGGAGCCTTTGCTACTTTTATCAATCCACCGAGATCTAAACCACTTTTGATATCATCGGAAACCCTGGACTATCGCGCGCGACTCCCGACCCTCGGGAAAATAAGACATCTTTATGCGCTTCCGGTGCTCGCCGCGAACCGTTCCACCTAATAATCACTCTTGGCGGACGTTCGTTTGAAAAAAAGTGTGTCAGTCGCGTTCTGCGGAACGATTGCAACGGCTCCGTCAAAGTAGACCGAAGGACCACCATTTTATTCGAACCCTGTACAATTGTTGAACATTTACCATAGCAAATAGCTTCGCAGAATATTTTCGATCGACATCGATTCGTTGAAAAATAGCCGTTAACGCATCTTGCAGATTTTTACTATTATCCTAATCGCTCTAGAATTGATCTAGGACAACTTCTAGGATAGTTGACCCTTCACCGGACTGCCAATTATTATCCCTTATTGTTTCAATAAATATTACACGCTTCCAATTTACGTCGAAACATTGCAAATTCGATGATTTTGTTATTTATTAAACACTTACGCGAGCTACAAACTAAATAACCGCGTTGTAGCAATACGCAAAGTATAATAATGTGAAAGAAACACACTTTGTGTGTTCGCGCTCGCTTCTAATTACCCTCAGCAGATTTAACACAGATTATACGTAGAGACTGCATGAATTTTCAACTAAATTACATGAACGCAAGTCGTTTAAACTTGCGCAGCACCGCCGCGGCCACCGTAAAATCCGGATAACGGTTAAATAGTAATTAATTAATTCTGAAAACTATTTTCAATGTCCCAAAATGTCTGCCGAACAAAGCAGTCAACCTCTCGCAACTGAATAATCCGAATTGCCTACAAAATAGACACTGCCAGAGCGGTGGCAGAGGATCGCGAACCCGTTAAGAGCTCATGGCCTTTAATGATTCCTCGAACTTACCCCCCGCTGCCCCCGAAGGCCCGGTCTGGCCCGGCCCACGGAGAATTTCGCTCGGGCGCAAGTAGCACGAAATAAGCATAATTACCAGAACCGATCGGAATAGGAAAATTGCGAAGATGTCGGAACTTAGTAGCGAGTTCGCGCTCACGATCGTTCCCGATGACACGCCCCATCAGCTGGCCTGCCAAGACCACCAAGGAATCATCTTCCCTCCGACGGGAGCTGCGCGCCCGGTCCGCGGAGAAGAAACGGTGAATGAATAAATTAAATGGTCGCGCATTAATCAGCCTCGCGTTTCTCGATCTTGGAAATTACCGGGTTCCCGTACCGCCCCGCAGTGCCCCGCCGTGCCCCGCCGTGCCGCGCCGCGCAGAACGATCGGTAGCTCTCTGTAATTTTCTCGCCGCCCGGTACATGCCCACGTGCACGGACCCCGAAAGTTCGATAGGTGGTATCGAGAGCCGAGAGAGACTCCGGAGGAGAAGATCCGCGCACAGGATCTACTGGATCTGCGGGATCTTGGCTCGGGTGAACGATACCTCGGCCGATTCATCGCGCTCGATTATCAACGGACACTGTAATTAGTTCGTTCGAGGCAAGTGGACCCTCCGAGTGTGTTAATACTTTGACGATCATCATCTGTGCACGGAGCTGGGACAACCCTAAACGCTGTCGCTTAGGCGGTCATCTTCCCCCGGGTACGTCCCACGGTGCCAGGATTTATTGAAATATCGGAGAAGTTCGCTTCCGACGATTTCCGAGAAAGTTTGCCGCCATTGGAAAGTCCGGCAAGCCGTTCGGAAACCGTTCGGATCTTTGGGATTTTTCTGCGACTGCATTTTTATACGAAATTGCGAGACAGAGGAGATACCTTCTCTATTAACCCTTTGCACTCGAGTGGTGACTCTGAGGCACCGCTAAAATTGTTAGTTCGCGTTATAAGATAATTTTTATATTAACGAAGTTTAAATTCATCAAATCGTTAAAAGTGTAACCGTCGTCACAAGTTATCGCAAGATTCAATTTCACATGCATTCAATGCACTTTGTCATATAAAATGGAAATACCAGAAGTCAGAAAAATTATTTTAGATTTACGGTTAAAATGGCTTCGAGTGTAAAGGGTTAATTCTTCTTCTCGACGATTCCAACGAGTTGCAGGGAACTTGACGGGGTTCGTTAATTTTGTAAATATCCGTACATTTTTACTGGACAGTTCTTTTTTTATAAATTGATTAGCATTGCATGGAGTAAAATAAAATCGATAGGACACGTAAAAATATGTCGGTGGATTTTCCAAACACCTGCATCAAGATGGAACGGATATATCGGACTCGGTCTCTCGGCGAAATATCTTTTGCGAGCGGGGCACGATGATCGACGTTAAAGATTTCTCACGGTAGGGGGTTGTTTCCACCCTCGGCGAAGAGACACAGACAGCCGAGAGACTCTGGTTCCGACGGCGGTGGTCTGTCGGAACAGAGTTCGTCGGCACACTTGAAAGAGAGGAACGGGAAGAAACTGGCCCGTAGATTTGTGTAAGTCGATCGGGCCCGATGGTCGGCCGCCCTTTCAAAACAAAAAGAGGAGGGCAAAAACATCGCGTTAACTGCCGCCGGGGGTGGGAAAGCCTCAGAAGCGCCGACCACCGCCGAATGCGGTTTTCGAAACCACCGGGAAACACGCGTTCGAATCAGCAATTTTTCATGACCCGTCGTCGCACAAACTGAACCGCACCTACGAACGTTCGATTTTCTGGTGTTCGGGCCGAAGTGTCTTCTCCAAATTTTTTATTCGACTGCTTCGTTGCTGCGTTATTCGCGCGTGGGTGACGGAATTAGAAGATAATTTGAAGATTAATTTTTTCGTTAACATATTAAGGGTTGCGAAGATTAAATCTGCAGAATGTTAGAATCGAAGGAATAATGTCTCTAACTGACGCTCAAATTGTGCACAAAAATGGACAATTTGGGAAGAGAAAATTATTCGAGCCTCGTGACTCGTTTTTATAGTTCTTGACGATGGTTAACTATAAAAACGAGCCAGAAGGCTCGAATAATCGTATCTTCTCTTCTCAAATTGTCCATTTTCGTGCACAAGCTGAAGGAAAATTAGCGAGAATTTTCTGTACCTTGGAGATTATTTTACATTTGATTACAATCTTTTATGTATTAAAAAACTGTAGAGAGATTAAGAAATGCGGTGTACATGTGGATATGCGTGGCGAAGGACGCGAGATGTATGTGTGTATGTGAGAGAGAGAGAAAGAGAGAGAGATCGGTTGGGTTTGAAAGGCGATGAACGGTTACAGGCGTTAGGCGTAAGCGAGAGAGAGAGAGAGAGAGAGAGAGAGAGAGAGAGAGAGAGTGAGTATGTGTAAGCAAAATAAAGCGTCGAGGTTCATAGCTAAGCAGCATAGTTTGGAGTAATTTGTCATAATCAATTCATAAAACCAGAAAAACCTTACAATCCTTGTACAATAATCCAAAGAGAAGTGTTCACGTTAATTGCCGGCACAAGATTGAGAAAGAGCATCGCTTATACAATACAGACAATACAATCAACGTACAGATGTCACCGTAAACAACGCGCGACGATACATCGACGTTACACGTCGCGATTGGTAGTTATTTCAATATTCCAACAATCGCGAATATAACCTTGATTTTTCAAGTTGCATTCGGCGATTCGATAACACGTATCCCAGCAGTTTTCCTCGATTTCTACGGAAGAAAACGAACGCGTGCGCCGTTCGTCGACGATCTTCCGACGATCCGTGCCGCGGAATCGCTTCGGCCGGCTACCCAGCAATCTCTAACACCCAGCGGGTTAATTCCGGGGTTCGAAAGTTTGGTAATAACTAGCCGGTAGCAAGCGCTTAGCCTCGCGGAGGTTGCAATTTCTGCCGTGATCCCGCGAAATCGCTTCCATCCGACTTTTCGAGGGAACCGAGCAGCAAGCCGCGCGCTCTCTCTCGAGTTCCCGATTTCGGGAACTCGTTGAAAGGGTTGAGGAAAAAACGGCAGGCTTAATAAGCTCCGAAAAAGGTGCGTTTACAAGGATTTATCGATCAATTTCGGCCGAGATCTCGGCCGAGAAAGATCGTCGCGTAAGCACTCTGCTCGGCGATCTTTCGCGGAGAAGGTACACATCGAACGCTTGTTTATCCGCATCGAACCCCTCGTTTGACCCTAATTATCTCGAAAATCTGCTCGTTTCGGAAGCGTCTTGCCCGCTTATTAATACGCTGCAGATATTTATGGAGTTCGTATTTGGCACGCGGAATATTTAAATTCTTCTTTCGAAGTCTCGAAAAGAAACTTCGATTCTGTCTTATAAAATTGACACGCTCAGATCGTACACAAAAATAGATAATTTGGGAAGAGCAGGTACGGTTATTCGAGGCTTGCGGCTCAATTTTATAGCTACCGATCGTTGTTAAACATCGACCAATTGTGCACAATCTGATCGTAAACTAGGGAGAATTTACTGTTGCAGTTTCATGAAATTAAGCTCGAAGCGAACGAAGAAATTACAAGAATTTCCTGTCGGTTTCTCAAATTTATTCAATTTTCTGTAAGCGTCCCGATGCTTTTAGAGGGTGGAAGGTGTAAGCTGCGGCAATACTGTACGTTCACGGTGTATTAGATCGCTGTATTAGAAGGCGAAATAAATCCGAGTGTAATCGTAGAACGTGGGGGAGGAAATTGTCGAGGAGCGTAGCTCGCGAAGAATAGAGAGGCTCGAGGAATTGTTCGTTTCCCGAGGAATTCGAGCGACGACGACGCGAGGCTCCCGCAGACGGCTCGCATTTTTAGATTACAGCGAATTTATCATCGGGAACCGCGGAGACGGACGACACGTCCGTAAAAAGAAGAAGTCGCGGAAGAGCGAAGGCCCCGGCGCGTCTTGAAATTGTCGAGCGGGCTTTGCGCGGGCCGCGACTAATCGGCCGACGACGCCTGACGCCGGGACGCCCCGCGTTGATGCCCATTCGACACGGACTCTATTCCCGGACCCGGGGACCCGCTTCTTCCTTTTCCTTTCTCGCATCGGCTCGCTTCTGGCGTTCCGCACAAACTATAGCGATTCCCATCGCCTACCTTCCCTCCGATTTTCCATTCGCGTCGCGACCCGAAAGCGAACGCGATCGACTTTTCCTCCGGAAATTGGCCCGCCGTTTTCTTCTCTCGTCGATCCATCTATCTTTATTTCGATTTTTATTCTGTAATTTGAAAATTTGAGTGTCGGGGATATCGCGTTCGAGCATCGAACAGCAATTAAAAAACTTCCCGCGATCTGGAATAGATTTAATCGACGAAACCGAGTCTAGATCAAGTAAAATAAATTTCGAATCTCGATTAAAAAATACCGTCGTCTGTGTACAATCGACGAGGCACTCGACGTGTCAAGTTTTCCAAGCAGAATATGCGAATTATGAATTTTCGCGCAAAGAAACGCTCGCCCCGCGACCGGAGGAGTTTCCTCGATGGGGTCTATTTCGGTATGTTTAATGCCCGTCGATAATAATGGACGTGGCCACCGATCGAAACAAAAGAGTCAAAAGGGTTAGGAGGGGAAGGGGGCGAGCAGTATGGCGAACGAGAGTCGGTCGCGAATCGAGTGTGAAATAAGCAGCGCAATGTGTGCGACGCGTAGTGCGGCCCTTTTGAACTCCGGTTCGGCAAAACAAACCATAAACGTGCGTTCACCTGGAGAGACGGGGCCGGGCAGGTGACACGAGGAATTAATAGCTATTAGACACGACCCCGTAATTTTCGACCCTCCGGGCCGGGTCCCGGCACCCCATTATTTCGGTGTATTTCTATTATTTTGTTGCTCGTTCTGCTAACCAGTTGTCGGTTGTTAACGCCAGACCCGAAAGGAGGGCGAGCTCCGCGTTTGTAAAACACCTTCTTCCTCCTCGGCGATGCCATGGTTTACGCGCCAGCGTTTCGATTCGTTGGCGAGCCCGTAAAAACGTGTCCTCGCGGCAAACCCTATCGTTCGGCGCGTTCAGTTCTGTCGATTTATCTAAAATAATTACCATTCGATTTCCACGTTGATCAGATTCTCCATCCTTCTCGATCGTTTTCTTTTCTTCAGGCAAAGCCAGCTCCGGCTCGGATTGCGAGAGCGAGCCAGGGATCCCCCTGAAGAGGAAGCAGAGAAGGTGTAGGACCACCTTCACGGCCCACCAGCTGGACGAGCTGGAAAGGGCCTTCGAGAGGACCCAATACCCGGACATCTACACCAGAGAGGAGCTGGCCCAAAGAACCAAGTTAACGGAGGCTAGGATACAGGTCTGGTTCAGCAACAGGAGAGCCAGGCTCAGGAAGCAATTATCTTCGACGACTTCCGGCGGCTACGTTAGCTCCGTGGCTTATCCTGCTGCGTCCTACGTCCTCCATCCTCCGGCTGCACCGCATCCTCACACCGCGGCCACCGTACCTTCGAACCACCCTCATGCTCATCCCCATGGACAGACTCTGCCTGACACAACTTTCTCCTCCAGTCAAGGTAGGCTTCAACGTCTCTATTAGGTCGAATCGTAAACGGACTGCGAAACTTTATGCATAATACAAATGTTTTTCCATCGATTTCGAAAATTGTGAGTCGAGTAGAACGTGTCTCTTCTCTTGACAATTTTAATTATTTAAAAACAACGCGATCGTGTTCCTTTATGTTCTTTCTGTTTTGTATTTCACGATGCCATTTCTCTCATTTTTGCATAAAATTCGTAGTCTAGTCGCGAATAGGTAGAATCTATTGTTCGTATTTACCGATCACGAGTCATTTCATCGTCATCGGGACGATCGAGTACAGTAATTTCTCCCGGAAATGCCAAATTTCGGGTTGCTCTGAATTTCCCTGTGCTTGTCAGTCCTAGGTCTATGTGTCACGTGGCCGAATTGCCTTCGAATCGTGTCGCATGGCCTCCGAATTGCCTTCGAATCGTGTCGCATGGCCTCGGAATTGCCTTCGAATCGTGGCAAAAAATGAAAAAGTAGAGTCATCGTTTTTATTCTAGCACTACTATGTATTCATATTAATGTACAGCAGCACGCTGGACGTTGCCTTTTTTTACCGACTGCCCCGAGTTTCTATAAAAACGAGCCGCAAGGCCCGAAGAATCGCGATTTAGTATTATATTATCAGATCTGTGTGTGTGCCGATTTCTCAATCCCGACACACGCGAGAGATTTTTAAGAGAAATTACTGTACACGCAAAGAAAACAAAATAAATGTCCGATAAAGAAACGGAAATTATTTCACGACTCGACCTAATAGCTCCTCTAGCTACTATCAACTCTTTGAAAGAACAGAAGAGGTTGTCGCCTAATTCACATTATTTTCCACAGTTCCGGAGCTATACTCGTCCCACCACGCCAGCATGTCTCATCAACTGGCGTCCGAGTCGACCCGCCTGCCTTCGTCGGTCGGGTCGGCACCCGGTTACGGCTTGCCACCATCGGTGACATATCCCAGCACCCTGCTGCCTGCGACGGCTTCGACCAGCGCCAACCACATGACCCACCAAGCATCTCCGGCGGCCTCGGCTTCGTCCACTTATCAACAACCCAGCAGCCATCAGCTCCCTCCCACCCCGAACTCCCTGGTGACCATGATGGGTCCCAATTCCGGCAACTCGAACCCTTCCTCCGACCATTTGACCCCCTCCGACCTTCCCATCGGCTCTGCCTCCCCTGTGCAGCAGCAGCAGCAACAACAGCAGCAACAAACCAGTCAAGGGAACACCTCGCCCTCTTGGAACCTGCCAATCCCCGGTGGCGGAAGGGTGGGACTCCCTAGCCCCCCTTCCAGCCTACAGCAACCCCATGCGCACACCAGCCATCCCCATCAAGCCTTCGCCAGCCATTACGGTGCTCAAGGCTTCCAACAACCACCGAGACCTACCCCTCACCAACCATTCTACAGCTGGTACTGAGGTCCTTCGATTCTTGTTGATCGGAGACGCGCGCGATGTACAAGTGCCAACTGGTTTGGCTTGTGATTGTTGAACGTTTTATCCGTCTGCGAACCTTCGGCCCTCTCTGTCGGCAGACTGTAGGCATCGTAAAGTCTGCTGGTCGGCGATTAGGTTTACGGGGCCACTGTTGGACCGATTGCCATGGTGCTTGGCCTCCTCGAATGTAACGAGCATCGGAAATCCTAACTGAGAACCGATTCTCAGACGTCTGCGATTCTCTCTCCGACATCTGCGAGATCCGCGAGATCTGCGAGATCTACGAAATCTGCGAGATCTACGAAATCTGCGAGATCTGCGAGATCTAAGAAATCTGCGAGATCTACGAGATCTAAGAAATCTGCGAAATCTGCGAAATTTGCGACATCTACGAGATCTAAGAAATCTAAGAAATCTGCGAGATCTACGAGATCTAAGAAATCTGCGAAATCTGCGAAATTTGCGACATCTACGAGATCTACGAGATCTAATAAATCTGCGAAATCTGCGAAATTTGCGACATCTACGAGATCTAAGAAATCTAAGAAATCTGCGAGATCTACGAGATCTAAGAAATCTGCGAAATCTGCGAGATCTGCGGACTTTGAAGTCTGAGAAAACGAATGAGGGAATGTGCCGCTTGAGTATTCGACGATGAGTCTGTGTTCGAGGCAGGCGATTAGCTCGGAACACAGATTTAATTTTGATTGCAAAATACTCGATTAGATGCTTAATTGGAGAATTAATAAAACCAATGTGACTGATGCTCTATTAGAGGGCTCGGAACGCTTTGGTACGCAACGTTGCTACCGCGAAGGCTGTGCTGGAAGCAACGCGGGGAGTATCTCGATGCTCATTACAGTAATGTCTCTCTAATCGACGCTCGGATTGTCCGCAAAAATGGACAATTCGGGAAGAGGAGATACGATTATTCGTGCCTTGCGGTTCGTTTTTATAGTTACGAATTGCCAACAACTATAAAAACGAGCTACGAGGCGCGAATAATCGTATCTCCTCTTCCCGAATCGTCCATTTTTGTGGACAATCCGAGCGTCGATTAGAGAGACATTACTGTAGTCAGAAGGCGCAGCCTTGGCAGCAGATATGTTGCGTTCGGATGCGTTCCGACACCCTGCTCTACCTTGTTAAGAAAAATCGACGATTCAAGTGCCCTTATCTAGCAAAGCGTCCTTTTGGATAGTTAGCAGAGAGGATTCAACTGTAGCTATTTATTTAAATGTTCTTTCGTTTAAAGAAAGTAGCAGCAAGAGAGGATAAAATAGAATCTTGTTAAGATCAAAGCACTGGAGAAACTTATTAAGTCGTGCCAGTAAATTCAGTGTGTATTTGTTTTAAACGTTAGGTTTGTAATGTACGTCGTTGTATAAATTTTAGAATAATTTTTCTGTCTTAGTGTTCGCTATCTTCGGGACAGACGCGTCCAGTGATTATATAATATACGCGAGAACGTAAATTTGTAAGTTGAAACGTGGTAAATGCTATTAATTCGTGATCGAAGACAGTTTGCTGGCAACTCTTCGATCATTCTTTCTTTATGCAACAATTGTGAATTATCGTAACTTGTGAAGTATAAATTAATGATGTAATTAACACGTTGAGTGCGGTGTCAGTCCTTTTGTGTACTTTTTCTTAGGCGGCGTCTGTTGCCAGGGACTGGTTAAAAAATAAGTTAAAAAATATTGCCACCTTTATTATATAATTAAGGCCGCTTTAACGGAAAACCCAGCAAAATCGGCCCCGCGCTCAACGTGTTAAATAAATAGGTAGTGTAAATATTTCGGTAGTTCCTTCCTTCATTCTTGGTTTTCGGGTACTTCGTCTTAAGTTTCTATTATTTCACGTTTCGTGTGTATACAGTCTGACCAAAAATGTATTTAATATGTAAATAATAGTATCGCGTTAGTATTACAATTTTAATTAGGAACTATTGTCGAGAATATTTTTGTGAAGCAAGTACAACGATTGTAACGCGGTTTCGACTATTGAGAAAATAATCAGCCTTTGCTCGACGGTGAATTTTTAATTCCAACGCTGTGGAAACACTGTTTTACTGTAAATGCTAGGATAATTTAATGCGCAAACATTGTATAAAATATTGAATAGTCGGTACATATTGTATTTTATTGCCAACGATAATTCAATAAAAGTTTAGTGAAAACGTTTGTCGTTAACAAATTCGTCCAAAAGCTTTATCAATTCCATAGACAATCAATTTTCAGGTAAACGTTTATTTTCAAGAAATGGACAAATGTGACAATGATGCACAAAAAGCGTGTAGGTTTTCATACGTATATGAAACGATATCGTGTTTCAAGTATAGTTGTGTAAGACAGATTTAAGCTAACTCTTCGTAGGTTCGTGGCACCATCCGCGTTGAAACGCTGAAACTGATATCCTCGCAACGTGAGATGGTACTTGGAACACAAACGAGGTATAGCAATATGATGTTCTATGTTACACGTTCTGAAATACCAACATCGTTAGAATAGACTGCGGTACACAGCAATTTCAATTATTTACACTCACACGACTTTTTTAATAAAAAAATGTATCTCAGATATCAAGAGAAACATTCTGAAACATTTAATATACGCCCCTGCAATGTTCCTCAAACTTGGTAAATGTCCTAACAGTCATATAATATATTGAACAATATTGTATAAAAATTTCAAGAAAGAATATTATATCCCGGCAAAGTTTCAGCGAAATAAAGCAACAAATCTAATTAATTCTTATGTAGAAACAGGGGTCTAATCTCCACAAAGATCACTTTCACGCCAGCGAATATTTTTACTGCGAAGAGAATGCGATATAAGTTCCCCTATCTCTATAATGCGTTAGACAAGGAAAGCTGATTGTGCGACAAGGATAGAAACAGCGGCCGGTGGCGCCATCTACGGTGGCGGCTTTGTGAACTAACTTTCCCTATCTCCACCGTGTGTAAGACAAGGACAGAGATAGTGTGCGACAAGGAGAATAGATGTCCCGGTTGTGCCACTAACTTTTTAGACGGACTTCGAATTCCCTGGTAAGTGGTAGGAACACATGATATAGCTGGAGGTATCCGACAAGGACAAACTTATGCGTTTTACGGAGCGAGAGAAGGACGCACAGTGAGACTCTCTCTCGACGTATCAATTCGAGGGAAGATTCGTTAATAACTCAATTACCAGGAATAATTTATAAACATTTGCGATCGAAGCATGTAGAATGGACCTTCAGCTACTTTCACATATAGTTTTTGATCATATTTTATGCGTTATTAGAGAGTTATTAATTAATTTTGACAAGCAGTATCCCGCGTAACCTCAAAAAATTAAAGATCGTTCTACAAATAATTAATTTCCTGACTTTGCAGACATCATTTGTGATTCTTTATAATCGAAGAATGTAGAATGGACTTCTAGCAACACACCAATAACAAATTTAATCACATTTGGTTCGTAGTTAATAAGTTATTAACAATTTTTGCGCGGGAGTATTCTTCTATCCTATTGCCGTAACGGTTCAGACAAGGATAGATAGATGGCGCAACAAGGACGGCAATAGTTTGAACGTGCCAATAACTTTGGTTCCTACGGCTCCTGATACTATTCTATCAGAAGGTGTATAAAAGAGAGTTAGTGGCACGGAAAAGGTATTTCTGTCTTTGTCGCACATTCTACCTTTCTCTGTCTTACACACAGTAGGCACTATACCGATAAACATGCCTTCCAAAAATTNAGACATCATTTGTGATTCTTTATAATCGAAGAATGTAGAATGGACTTCTAGCAACACACCAATAACAAATTTAATCACATTTGGTTCGTAGTTAATAAGTTATTAACTATTTTTGCGCGGGAGTACTCTTCTAACCTATTGCCGTAACGGTTCAGACAAGGATAGATAGATGCCGCAACAAGGACGGCAATTGTTTGAACGTGCCAATAACTTTGTTTCCTACGGCTCCTGATACTATTCTATCAGAAGGTGTATAAAAGAGAGTTAGTGGCACGGAAAAGATATTTCTGTCTTTGTCGCACATTCTACCTTTCTCTGTCTTTCACACGGTAGGCACTAGACCGATAAACATACCTTCCAAAAATTGTTAATAACTCATTAATTATGCGTCGGATCTTTACAAAATTATAACAGGAATTTAGCTGGGACTTCACTCTAGATTCTTTGGATACAAAGATGCATAAATTATGGCTGCAAAACTAATTAAGAAATTGTTTCCGGACAACGCATTTAACTTTTTAAGGTTATGTCGGAATACTACTTCCAAAATTTATTAATAACTCTCTTTGGCTTAACAATTTATACACATTTGTGATTGGAGAATCTAGAGTAGACCTCCAGTGACTTTCACCATACGTTTTNAGGAATTTAGCTGAGACTTCACTCTAGATTCTTTGGATACAAAGATGCATAAATTATGGCTGCAAAACTAATTAAGAAATTGTTTCTGGACAACACATTTATCTTTTTAAGGTTATGTCGGAATACTGCTTCCAAAATTTATTAATAACTCTCTTTGGCATAACAATTTATACACATTTGTGATTGGAGAATCTAGAGTAGACCTCCAGTGACTTTCACCATACGTTTTGGATCACGATTTGTTCGTCGTTAGCAATTTATTAACATTTTTCAAAATAACCGTTACGGTGTAAATGCAAATAATTTGACATTGCCTCCGAGAATAATTAATTTTGCCGCTTTACAAGCACAATTTATGCATCTTTATATCCAAAGAATCTAGAGTGAAGTCTCAGCTAAATTCCTGTTANTCTAGATTCTTTGGATACAAAGATGCATAAATTATGGCTGCAAAACTAATTAAGAAATTGTTTCTGGACAACACATTTATCTTTTTAAGGTTATGTCGGAATACTGCTTCCAAAATTTATTAATAACTCTCTTTGGCATAACAATTTATACACATTTGTGATTGGAGAATCTAGAGTAGACCTCCAGTGACTTTCA